TCTCCCCCCCGCGGGGGGGGCCAGCCGCTCCCCCCCGAAAGTGGGGGGGGGGGGACACCGAGCGAGGTCGAGCCCCCGCGCTGCCCGCCCGGCTCGGGCCCGATCGCCGCGCAGCGCCGCGCCCGCACTGACCTTGGCAGCGCTGAGATAGAACGCTCGCTCCGAACGTGGCGACCCCCGGGGTTCCGAAATCGAACGCTCCGGGAAAGCGGCCAATCAGAGCACTAATCCAGGCGGAACAGCGCGTTTCCCGGCATCCCCCTACCTCCCCGGGGCGGGCATGGCTCGAGTCTCGCTACAGCGTGCTTCCCCGCCCCCTCCTTGCAGCTGGCTGGGGAGCAGGCGGGGGTACTCTGGGCGTGCGGCGGCGATCAGGGGGCTTGTGCGTGCGCCCCCTGATCGCCCCGGAGGGAGCGCCCTGCCTAGTGCCAGGGGTCACGCAGTCCCTAGTGTGATGTGACAGGAACAGGGTGGGCCACAGTCGGAGTCCTGTGTCCAGCTTTGGGCCCTGCACTACAGAAAGGATTTTTTTTGTTGTTGTTTATTGCACCGCTCCTGGAAGCACTGTAATACCAGGCCGATGCATGGAGGGGATGGAGCAAGCTCCAGTTCCACCTCCCAACACCAAAAATCTACTCAATATAGACCTCCTATGGAGGACATATTAGGGACAACCACCTGCCCTGCGGAGCCCACCTACGTGGTCACGGTGCTTCCCCTGCCAGGTAAGCACTACAGAAAGGATGTGGGCAAGTTGGAGAGAGCCCAGCAGAGGGCAACAACAATGGTGAGGGGGCTGGGACACAACCGTGAGAGGAAGAGCCCTTTCCCATTATAGTACCTACCTACCAAATTAGCAGAAGGAAAGCATGAAGGGTCTTTCTCCACCATATTTCCCAGCAGGCTTGCACAAGTTGTTAGGTAAACAGAGCCTGATGGTGGGCATAGTTTAAAATATAGCTATCCTTAACTGTAACCAATATATCCTTCACCTATATATAGTGTAAATTAATGGTTTATATTAGCATGCAGTAAGCAAATGCTTGTCTGAACAGGTGCTCAGGCTGCCTTCCTATTAAAAAAAAAACATTTCTTAAAATAAGTGGCAGTAAGGTGCAGAGCTCAAAGGCCTGGGGCAGAGGGTCCGACTTGATCTACTGAGGTCCCTTCCGACCCTAAAAATCCATGAAATCTATGAGATGTCTTCACTGTATGGTTAATGCTGGGTCTTGCATTCATTTTATCTTGAATCCCATTACTTAGAAAAACCTGTTTGGAGGTGTTCTGAGCTGGAGGTAGCTGCCTTGGTATGGGTTTGGGCTGGAACCCAGTACTTCTTCAGTGAAGCTATGAGGAAAGTCACTGGTGCTGATTGCCCTCTCATAGATTCATAGATTAAGGGTCGGAAGGGACCTAGTAGATCTTCTAGCCCGACCCCCCGCCAGGGCGGGAGAACAACAAAAAACCCCAAAAAGAGAAACGGGACTCAAATGAGTCCAGCCAGGTAGGCATCCAGCCTCTTCTTAAAGACCCCCAGGGTAGGGGCCAGCACCACTTCCCTTGGAAGTTGGTTCCAGCTCCTAGCCGCCCTAACTGTGAAATGTTCTGCCCACATTTTCGCTAAAGAACAGAAAATTGCTCCCATCATTTACCAGGAAGAGCTCCACACAAAGAACCATGAAACATGCATGTGTGTTGTGTCATTCCTCTTACTATACACACACAACATACAAAAGGCTTCACTGTGTGGACACTTGCTCATGGCATAGATCAAGTGTGGCTAACCCATGGCATGCATGCCACAAGTGGCACATGCAGCTCTTGTGTGTTTGGTGCCCACACATTGCTGGAATGGAGGTAGAGGGACTGAAGCCGATGGTAATGTGCTTAGGGGAGGTGGGGCAGCACAGAGGCTGCGGCAAGAGGCATCAGGTATCAACACTAGAAGCTAGGTTAACCTGTCCCTGGCCCAGCAACTCACCATTTTATAAGGTTGTGTTTGGCAGAGGCAGCTTCATCTTAACGCAGTGCCCTACCCCCATACCAGTCCATATCACCAGAGGCTTAAGCCACCTGCCACTATTCTGGTGCTCTAGATCCCTCAAATAATGCACTTTGCAGATAAACTCCAGATAAGCCTCTGGTGGGTGAGGGTCAGAGCGGTACTCAGGGATGGGCCAAGGCTTAGGTTGTGGCTCATCATCAGCAGCCACTGGCCTAGGCTAACCCAGGTGCTCAGACCTGATTGCCAATCACCTGAGTTAAAAGCATGGTGAAGATATAGAGCCTCAGAGGTGATGAATGCAAATTCAAAGTGCTCAGCGCCTCTCGTGATCAAGCCAGAAGTTAAAGCTCAGACTGTCAGGTGTCAGGGGAACAAGTGACTAGTGCATCAAGGCACGCTCCAGTGCCTCAGGCCTGCCAGAAGGCAGAGAGTTGTGTTAGCAGATCACCTGTGAGGCATAGGAGTGGGTACTGAGGAGGATGGAGCCCAAACTAGCCCTTAAAACAACAAGCACAAGCACCTGTCATCTTAAGAATAAGAGCAGGCTAGCCCCCAGCTGGTCCTGGTTACTTGAGTAGGCTTGGCTGCTAGTGGCCTAACTACTCCCAGCTGCCTTCATGAGCATGACTACCTTAAAATCAGCAGCTCTTTCAGTTGCTAGCAGGGTAATCAATAGGATAGGTATTTTTCTATTTCATTCTTGGTGTTGTTACTTTGCTTCTGCTGGTTGGTTCCTAGTTTTTTCTGTTCCCTGGGTCCTGCTTTTTGGTTTGTTGCTGCCAAGTTTTTACCAGGGCCTGGAACTCGGTTTCTTTTTCCCCGATCTGTAGATATGGTTGTTAAGAATATAAACTTCCTTGAGCCCATGTTGAGGAAAACTACAGCTGGTGGTGGTACTGCTGATGGCAATATCAATCAAAATCATTCTCTATCACACAGAAGACATCAGATATATCAAGGATCACCCCTTAGCTCCTACTTAAGGAAACTGAGAAAATAGCATTGCATAGCCTGATGCTACTGAAATGCTGCCATGTGAGTGTGGTCATGTGCTAGACTGAAAGCAAAAGTCCCTGAAAAATCTGAGTGGAAAAGAAGGAAAGAAAAAACAGAAAACAAAAAAAACCTAGGGTAGATATTGTGATGATGAATGTTGCTTGGTGAAAAAGAGAAGTGAAAAGTCCTCTTGAGGCTTTTTAACAAGACACTGCAGGTTAAATACAGAGGTGGTATGGTACCCATATATTTGGTTATGCTGTCAGCACAGAAAACAAACATGAAGTTAGCAAAAGAGAAGCCTAAGTGTTCTGACTGCACGGTTGCTACTGAGCTGCTGAAACAGGGAAATTTGTGGTTTCATAACATTGTCAAGATAATAAAACACCTGTGCTGCAGTGCCCTGCAAAACACAAAACTGTGTCAAAAGGTGAGCAGCTAGCCCAACGAGGCAGCAGCTCAGGGTGGCTCACCCAACAAAGAAGCTGCTTAAGGTGGCCTGACAAAATTTTAACCACAACGGGATATGGCAGCTACAATGTGAACTTGGCTGCACAGTGCATCCAAAGGTCTGCTAATGGCAGGTGGGTAGCCACTTAGCCAGTCACAGTAAGGGTTAATCCAAATTTCGTTCTAAATTCTGCTTGAACATGAATAAATTTGGGATGAAATTTGAGCAAAGTGTGCAGATCTTTGGGTTCCCATAGAAGCATACTACTGGGGAAACAAATGACTTGAGGAGTTTTGCGGGTGCTGCAGAACCGACGGCTTAGCTGATCTGCTCCAGGCATCGTCTGTAAGGGTGTCTTTAACAAATTGTGCATAAGAGGTAATGAGGCTTGAACATGCTATATTGAATTTTGTAAGTATACTCTACGTTATTCTTTCTCTCTTAAATAAAACAAAGCTTGCCTTAGAGATCTGCGTGTCTATTTTAAGTACCTCATCCACTTGATCCAATTATGGGTACAACAGGTAGGATTTTTTAGAAGGATAAAATAATCCCTGGCTTATTTTGATTTTTGTTTATATAGTGAGTACTTTCTTAAGGTTTCTATAACTTCCAAGCATACAGCTATACTTCTTGGGCAGGCTTGTCTGAACAAATATTGTCCAGCCTTTAAAAAATACTCAGAGATTAGCAATATTAAACAGCCCAGCTATGTGAGCTACCAGCCTGCCTCTCCCTTTTCCTAGTTACTGAGTGGCCTTTATTTATCTCATATCTCCGTTTGTTGCAGGGTTGGATTGCACAGTTCTTAGACCATAAAGTACAGTACTCTCTGGCAATCATGCTTATCCAGTAGCTCCAAATGAGTTATCTTTGCCAGTCTGACCCAAAAACTAATGTGTCCTTATTAACATTAGGACCAGAGCAATTAGTGGGGGGGGGGGTGTTTAACTGTAGCCCAGCCTAACTAAGAGTTTACCATGCCCAAAGGTAACCCTGACTAGCAAAAAATCTGCACATCTCTGAGGGTTTCTGAGTCACGGTGCTTCTTGAAGCCAGACTGCTTGTATGGGCATATAGCTTCTTTTTTCTTTTCTTCATAATAACTTCCAAAAAAGCATAACTTTAGCAGGGAGCAACTAATTTGTTTCTTGTGCAGTAATTCCCATTAGTTAATGGTAGACTTGGGTATTAAGGTAGAATTAGGCCCTTGGCTAGCAGCTTTCCATGTCTGCTTTGCCAGCTTAAGCTGTGTCCCTTGGAATTACTGCAGCATCACCACAGACCCCGGTGACTTGCATATGTTTGTCCTTATATGCACAGCATTCTGGGTAAATGTCATGGGACAGTATTGTGCTGCTGGACTCTCTGCATTCTGGGATGGTTTTATCTTGCGTTGTGGGGCACATACTTGAAATCTGAGACCTGGCCGAACTAACCAGTTCCCTGAGTTCCTCTTCATTCTGTAAATCTTCTGGCTTCTGTAAGCTCCTATCACTTTAAAAATGTTGCAAAGCGGTATGGAGGAAATATGGAGTCCAGTGGACCTGACAGTGAATACAAACAGGCTGAGGTATATATACTGGTAGCTGTGGCTGAATGGCTTTGAAAGACCTGAATGGCTGTGGTTATGCCTTGGCAATACAGGTAGCATAAGGATAAGAAACTGAAGAGTTATTTGTGCACTGATTTTTCTTCCCACCCTTTCCCACTCCAACTGGAGGCTGAAAGCAAAGGTAGAGGCGGAAAAACAATGCAATCAATAAATAGTGTTGTATTGAGTCAGCTACT